CGGAGGTGACCACGGTGTCAGAGAGAGGACATAGTGAGATGAAGACACACACGAGGTGGTGCCACACACGAGGGGCACAGAGTGGCAATCTCTCACACAGGCACAGGGCCCAGGCCACCCGTAGCTCAGCCCCTTCCCTGGTGGCCTTGTACCCCCGCAATCACCCATCACCTTCACCCATTGATGAGCTGTCTGTCTGTCTGTCTGTCTGTCTGTCTAGTTCTACCCTCCGATACAACCTAGCATTGGAATAGGCGTCTGAGACATACATGGGGTGACGCACCTGGTGAGCCAGTGCCCGAGGTCGGGCCGATGTGCCCCCTGCACGCCCGTCTGGTTCAGGGTCCGCAGCAGGCGACAGCAGGCCAGCACGGCCCAGGGGCTGGCCAGAACCACTGCCCGCTCTGTGGAGCCCAGCCGCTGCAAGGCAGAGGTGGCCTCATGCGTCCCACCGTCCCCCAACCTGGCACGGCCCTGAGGCAGACTGCTCACTGTCGGCAGGGCCCTCAGGGGTCCAGACTCCGCATGCAGCCCGCAGAGCAGGTCCTGGTCACTTCCGAGGATTTGGTTTTTGTAGATTTCCTGACACAAGGCCAGACACAGAGTGCTGACCAAGAAATACCAGGTCTGGTGTTCCTCCTCAATGAAGCTGCTTGCGCCCAGGCTCAGGACGTGGCCCGCGGTCCCCAGAAGGATGAGGACATCCAGCTCTGACCACTTGGAGCTGGAAGGGTCAGGGCTCTGTGAACATAAAACACACACTGTGAGGGAGGTTGGTTGGTGTGCTCACCGAAAACAGCCCGACAGAGACCCTGGGCCTCCCAGCTCGGCTCTGGGGGAGTAACACTTCCTCCACAAGGTCCTGGACACCTGCCCTCCAGCCAGGGGGACGGGGTCTCTCACCGGGGATTGTGAGTAGAGTAAAAAAGGAACTAGTGACAGTGAGACAGCAGCCCCATCCTCAGAGACCACCCGTCCTCAGAGAGACCACCCCATCCTCAGAGAGACCACCCCATCCTCAGAGACACCACCCCATCCTCAGAGACACCACCCCATCCTCAGAGAGACCACCCCATCCTCAGAGAGACCACCCATCCTCAGAGATCATCCATCCTCAGAGACCACCCATCCTCAGAGACACCACCCCATCCTCAGAGGGACCACCCATCCTCAGAGACCACCCATCCTCAGAGAGACCACCCCATCCTCAGAAGGGCCACCCCATCCTCAGAGACCACCCATCCTCAGAGAGACCACCCATCCTCAGAGAGACCACCCCATCCTCAGAGAGACCACCCCATCCTCGGAGAGACCACCCCATCCTCAGAGGGACCACCCATCCTCAGAGGGACCACCCATCCTCAGAGACCACCCATCCTCAGAGAGACCACCCATCCTCAGAGATCATCCATCCTCAGAGACCATCCATCCTCAGAGATAGGTGTCCTTCCCTAGCGCCCCACCTCCCTTTACAGTGGGAAAGGTTTCTGAAGTACAACCCTTCATCCCCTCCAGCATTAGAACCACAGACACGGCCTGGATCTGCAGTCAGGATGAGCAGGGGCGCAGCATGCCTTCCCAACGTCTCACACTGCTCTGTGATGGCTCACTAACGGGTGGGTTCCAGCAGCAGGGGAGCTGGGAGCTGCCCAGGAGGGGAGGGGAGGGGAGAGAGAGGAGCAGAGGGGAGGAGAAGAGAGGAGAGGAGAGAGGAGAGGAGAAGACGGAGGGGAGCCTCTTCAGGAGCCCTTACCTTCCCCACACGCTTGGAGCTGGAGCCCATTGCGGTCTCGCTGAGGGCAGATACGACCGCACAGAGCAGCGCAGACATCAGCAGCACCGCGCCACCGGCCACCAGCCAGGACACACTGCAGAAGTAGCAGGCGCTCTCGGCTGAGGTGCACACAACCACGTGGACGGCTGAGAGGACCAGGAGGCTTAGGTAGAAGAGCAGGGAGAACAGGGGCGACGACAGGGGCACGTCCAGTTCAGCTGCTGGGCCGAGGGCCTTTGGAACACTGAGCAGGAGCAGGGTGAAGACCTGGACAGGGAGACCACAGGCGTGTCGTCGGGGACACCTACTATAGACCAAGCCAGGTGCCTGCTCTTACACCAGCTGTCCCAATAAGGTTCCCAAGGCCTGCACTGGACTGCTAACTACAAGTCTGGCAGTTCAAACCCACCAGCCACTCCTCAGAAACTCTACACAGGGTCGCTATGAGTC